CCCCAAAACCCCAAAACCCCAAAACCCCAAAACCCCAAAACCCCAAAAATCTGCAAAATATTGAATAATTTAATAATATAAATTCTGTTCTGATAATAATGCCGAATACGAGAAATAAATGGGACGGATTCTTGTGCTTGCTTGGAGGTTTCACTTGAGGATTATCCACTGGATGTATCTTTATGATCGCACATACTAGGACATACATTTCCTCATTCTTTGTAGCAAAGCACCATGATGTATCATTGGAGTCAACCCAGCAGATAGTATTGGTTCAAGGGATTTCCCAAGGTATAGCAATACTTTTGGCACCATTGTTATAATCCAGTATCTCAACCCAAAGCTGCTGATACTCTTTGGAGGCTGCCTCGGGATTGGTGGCTTAATCGGAGCAACTTTTGTAGAAAATTTTACAGCTTTCATGCTCCTGTATGCGCTATATTTTGGATTTGGGGTGGGAACATGATTCTTTGTACCATTCTTTTGAGCCTGGAGTCATTTCCCAAAAAATATTGGGATCTCAAACTCAGTTGTTCTGTGAGGCTTCGCTTGAGGAATATTTATACTTGGGATCATTCCTCATGTCATCATGAATCCCAAAGGATTAAAGCCCAATGATGGAGTAAGTAATTATATTGGATTCTGTTTAAATATTATAGATTTTTCCTTCAGAAGTAGCTATCAGGCTTCCAAAAATGCTAAGAATCATGGCAATGATTATGGCTGGTCTCACTATTCTAACTATAATTCTAATAAACATGAAGAGAAAGACCCAAAGAATGTTCATCCGAAATAGAAGAAGAAGGAGAGGAAGAGGAGGCAACTATATGAGTCTCGGAGAAATAGAAACCAACCGAACTTCTAACCCTAATATAACCCGATCTGACCAACAAGAGGAGAATAAGGAAGGTAATCAAGAGCAAAATATCCAACAAAATCTTAATAATGGAAATGAAATTCTACCTATTGCCAATAACCCAGGTGATGAGAACGAGATTAATTTTTCAGATGCCATCAAAGATTATAAGACACACATACTCATTATTCTGATGATACTCTCTCTTGTGCAACCCTCTTTAGCTATCTTCAGTCTTAGAGAAATTGATGATGGAGATTATTTTACAGTACTATCTATTATTTCCTGACTAATTTTCTGAATAGCCTGCACTGTAGTAGGTCTCATAGTTGATAAGACTAAATGAAGATACCTCTTCATCGTAACCTTGGCAATCCAAATTATCCTTGGGTTCAGTATGAATAGTGCAGCTAAAAGCAGAAGTGGTTACTTTGTCTGGTTCACAGTCTCCTCATTCTTCTTCGGTACCATCCTCTCAATGATTCCATGACTATTGATAAAAGTATATGGACAAAAGACTGCATCTTGGTTATCAGCAGGCGTCTTCTCACCAATGTTTCTGCTAACGTATGCTTTCCTAAAGATCCAGGAGCCTAACTCTCCATAATTAATCGTAAAATGTTTTGTGTGATTCAACTAGTGTTTTATTTTTAGGGGTTTTGGGGTTTTGGGGTTTTGGGGTTTTGGGG